CCGCGCTCTTTCTGCTAGCGGAGGTACGCTGGTTGCAGATTAGCTCATCTCGCACGGGGTAGATATGACACTCAGATTATTGCCCAGTGTGTTGTTAAGAGCGCCAGAATGCGATCAGAATGGGCATGGCTCAGTCTCTCCGCGCGCCTACAACTCTGTCAGCGCGAAATATTACAAAACAACCGTAACATCCAAATCACCTTGTTGCGGAAAGTTGCAGCTGCAGAAAGAGAGAATCCCCAAGCGAAGGCTAGAATGGTTGGTGTAGGCGCTAGCTGGAAGTAGCGCTTGAGAAAATTCCTTGGAGTAAAGTCAGCGGCTGCTACTGAGGAAGTTGAACGAATCTCACACATCGTGTATGGTAGCACTGAAAAAAAGATTAACCCGCAAGAACTACGAGAATTGGGAATGCTGCCATCAACAGCAAGATGAGATCACATACTTAACATGGCTGTGTATTTTGCCGCAGCTAGTCCTTTCTCATGGGCAGCCTCGTTCAGTGGCTTATCGAAGAATCGTGGTCCCCAATGGTACCAACGATTTGTAACGATTCCCGTACGACCAAGGTGCCATTTTCGAACTGAAAACTCATAGCTACGCTCACATACGAAGCCCGAAGCTGACAACAAATCGATAAAACTCACTGTTTGTCAGCTCACTAAGCGACGGATTAACATCAAATCCTGGATGTTCCTTGCTTATATCGAATTTTTCGGCAATGTTTTTATACTGATGAGAGCTCTTCCAGATCTGGACTGGGGATTTTTTATTTCCGAAAAAAAGAAACCTTTACAGTACTTTCTCAAACCATGTCTTGGAAATCCTCTAGTTTCCCTGGCTGGTCGCCTTTGATAGTGATGTTGGGATGACGTAACGAATCAAGGCCGATAGGTCCGGAAATGGACGTACCATCAGGGACCTGAATATACGCACATGTGAGCTACATTTCATAACCAGGTGATGGGAAGGGCGTGGCCGCGCACTCAAATTTGAAGATGGCGTAGGATGCATTTTCAATGGATATATCCATTTGGGATAACAGTCATCATAACAATTACAGCTGTCGCAAAGGGTAATGTCCCACCTAAACCGCACCCTCCACCACGTTCCAGTAAGGCAGCCACACCCACCCCATCTTCGGGATATGGAGGTACAGAATCGAAACCTTTAACGGTCAAGATGGTATAGAAAAGAGATCTTAATGAAAGG